TATATATATATATATATATATATAATAATATATATATATATATATATGAAATAACAAAAAAACAGTTTATCGCCTCATTTTGTCAAGAAAAATAAAGATAACGTGTAAAAATGTCCAACACCCTGGTTCGAAGCAGACCTTAACCTTTGGCAGGGACTGTGAAGCATCGACTTGGAGAAACAAATGACAAAGACGGAAAGTTTTAACTCAGAGGAAGCTCTCCTAAAACACTGTCCCACGGACTACTGCATGAAACACAAATTTAAATTTTAAAAATGTCTTTGCGCTTCCGCTGACATCGAGATACATTTGCATTTTATGCAGGTTACACGTAATTACAAAAGCTCTGGGCTTTCTTTAATGTAATATACTCTGCTTGTTGAAGTAGCATGGTCAAATTTCTGTTCTGCATAGAGAGATGAACTAAAAAGACATTTATTCCACTGCATCCTCCAAGGTTTATTTTTAGAAGGTTAAATTAGAGCCATTGTCAGAACTGGTGCGGGGCACGGCTCCAAGGAGGTTCTGCACCATAATGCAATCATGTTAGCTCTGCGAGCCACAAAGGAGACGTTCAGGTTCATGAGCTTGAAGAGGCCGCAGGGACGTTACACATTGTTAGAAGAATGCACAGGTCAAAGCCAGGTGTGTGTGAACATTGTAATAAACCGAACCACCTGCAGTGAGATTGCCCTTTAACCCGCAACAAAGTTCAGGCAGCTAAACATTTTTCATACTCAACTATAAAACATTACGCGTTGAAGAAAGGACATAAATGATAAGATGTGATGAAAGAATGTAGCAACTGCGAAGTGATGAAGTGAGGTTTTGATCAAAAACAGATGGAGTCAGTAAGAAAGCTAAAAAAAGGTTCACACATCTTTACACCCCTGCTCAACACAAACTAATATTCTTTCTCTAAATGCAAAATGTTCCATAATCTGAAAATAATGCACAAACTAAATAATACCTCATTTATCACATGCTAAGTCATTTCTACGAGAACGGCACATGTTGAAAAAAAATTAACGAGAATCGTACTCTGGTTGTGGAATGGAAGTTTAGCATTTGTTTTTAATGCCAACTGCCCATTAGCAAAATTTCTCATGAACCACTGGATGGATTTTAACATAATTTTCAATAAATAATCTTTGGATGTATACAGCTACAACTGATTTAGGAGTCAGTCCAGTAGATTAGGGCTGCCACAGCTAACCAAACTTAAACACAAAAATGATTAAAACCTTGTCAAATTTCCAGATATTAAGCTAAAGTTTAGTATGGTAGTAGCTGAGAGTAATTCACAACATATACTTTCAATGTGATGTTTGGAAATATAGTATGAAATTGTTCATAACATTATTTACATTGTTTTACCAAAATGGCTGACTTACTACCGGCAATGCGAACCAAACTCTCGCACTGCTTGTATAGGGATTGAATAGTCCATAGCAACGGGCCCCCAATCAGAACTGGTGCGGGACATGGCTCCTAGGAAGTTCTGCACCAGTGGGAGACAAAGTTGGACTCCTCCAGGGCTGCCCGTTGTCACCAATTCTGTTCATAACTTATGGACAGCATTTCTCAGTTCAGCCAGAGGGTGGAGGGATTCCAGTTCGGTGGCCTCAGGATTCCATCTCTGCTTTTTGCAGATGATGTGGTCCTGTTGGCATCATTGTGCCGTGATCTTCAGCTCTCTCTCACTGGAGCGGTTTGCAGCTGAGTGTGAAACGGCTGGGATGAGAATCAGCACCTCCAAATCTGAGGCCATGGTCCTCAACTAGAAAAGGGGGGATTGCTGTATTTGGATCGAGGGCGAGGTTCTGCCTCAAGTGGAGGAGTTCAAGTATCTCAAGTGTCTCGGGATTTTGTTCACGAGTGAGGGAAGAATGGAACATGAGATTGACAGACGGATTGGAGCAGTGTCTGCAGTATTTCAGACTCTGTGCCGGTCCATTTTGGTGAAGAGGGAGCTGAGCTGTAAGGCAGAACTCTCAGTTTACCGGTCGGTCTATGTTCCTACCCTCACCTATGGTCACGAGCTCTGGGTAGTGACTAAAAAAATGAAATCATGGATACAGGTGGTTGAAATGAGTTTCCTCTACAGGGTAGCTGGACTCTCCCTTAGAGATAGGGTGAGAAGTTCAGTTATTTGGGAGAGACTCAGAGTAGAACCGCTGCTCCTCCACAGAGAGGAGCCAGTTGAGGTGGTTCGGGTATCTGGTAAGGATGCTCCCTGGGCGCCTCCCTAGGGAGGTGTTTCAGGCATGTCCGATTGGGAGGCGAGAGACCCCGGGGAAGACCCAGAATACGCTAGAGAGACTACGTCTCTCTGTTGGCCTGGGAACGCCTTGGGGTCCTCCCAGAAGAGCTGGAAGAAGTGGCTGTGGAACGAGATGTCTGGTCCTCCCTGCTCAAGCTGCTGCCCCGCGACCCGACTTTGGATCAAGCAGAAGATAATGGATGGAAGGATAGATGGATGGATGGAAGGAAGGATGGATGGATGGATGGATGGATGGATGGATGGATGGATATCAAAATGGCTACAATTTCATTTCTCAACTTAAGATGATCTTCATCTAAAACTCTGGCGTGACAGACAGTGGGTGATTTGCTTCCTTCCAGGAATACTGGGCCTTTAATCTTAGAAGTGGTTTTAAAAGCTCACAAACATGACCAAGTTTTAAAACCATCAGACTTCAGGTCGTGCAAGTTCACATCAACATGCAAAGGAATTTCTCTAAGGCTAGGAAACAAGAATAAACATCTTGGAATAAAGGTCAAGACTTTTTAATAATAAAGTTGAAGCACTGCGAATAACAATTTGTAATTAGCTTATAAAGCTTTACAACTGTACACAATAATCCAGGGGAGTTTTTACAGCCTAATTACCCAAAACAACTGCCAATAGGAGTCTACCAGCTGTGCAGTAGCATATAGCTAATATTAGATGTATGCTTAAGCCATAAAAGCACGATTACCAGTAGATTACAGCAGATGCTACTTGTACACTGGCAGACATAAACACTGAAACATGAATACAGCTGAAAGAATGTGAAGGTGAAGAAGTCTACTGATCCTTCAGCTATATGAACTGGACTGGAGAACAAAAAAACCGAGGCTGTTTATAAAGTTGAAGAAGCTTCAGTCTTCAGCAAAATGTTGCATATTTTCTGTAAGTCGGTGCTGTTTTCTGTGCAAATCACGTGTTGGAGTAGCAGCAGAAGAGCCAACAAGTCAAACACAGACAACTGAGAATAGTCTGTAACACGAACTGCAGGACACCTCAAAGTTCATTTTTCACGTTTAAACAGCATGAGGATTTATTTAATATCAGGCAGGTCATTTCAGCTATGGCTGACTACAATAAAAAGATGTCATCACTTGTTATCTTGTTTTACCAACACAACAAATAAAACTAGTTTAATTACTTTTATTTCTATTAATAGGTGTAAAAATGCATAACAGAAAAAAGCTTGACATTAATATTTACCATTTCACATCACTTTAAGTAGATAAAACGGAGCTTTGCAAGAAAAATCTTGTGCTAGGTAGATAAACATGTACTTTTATTTGTCTTGGATCAATTCTTTAAATGATAACTGCATAACATCTTGCTGTCTTTATCGCAGGCTGCTGTTCAAAACACCAACAAATACAGGAACCAAAAAAAGAAGATCTGCTGAGATAATGTTGCAGAAATCTAAGCAGCGTTGTACATTTTGCAATACAGTAGTCCTTCACTTATTGTGGGTTTACGTAACGTTCCAGACACCCCTGCGATAGATGAAAATCCGCGAAGTAGGGATGTTATATATATAATGTTATATATATATAAAGAGTTTATAAACTCTTCCCACACTCTTGCAATGTTCTTAACAATGTTCTCAACTCTTAAACCTACGTAATTTTAACAACATGCGTATTTCTACTGTACAGTACTACCAAATTTACATGGGTACTCACCAGTGAAGATACTACTACATCTTGAAGGATGAGTTCAGCTTCAGGATTATTTGCAACTTTCTGCCAGTTCTGTGAGTTTAATAGATACATCGTTACTTTTGACTTTGAGTTGCAAAACTATTTTTACCACATCGGTTTCTCCGCTAAGTGTTTGCTCCCTCCATTGCTGTTCTATGAATTTCAGCAGAAAGCTGCGACCAGAAGCACTGTTGGCTTCTGGTCCATGTAGTTTTTTTGACTTGCGTTACAGTGTACGCTTATTGAAAGAAAACTACAAAATGTCGGCGCCTGTCCGAAGTGTTTTTTTGTCCTATTGGTTGGTCCCCGCTCCCGTCAACATTTTATCCCGTACCGTCCCAATCACGTGAGTAATATTAAAGTTGACAATCGTGTACAATCTTAGGTTGAGAACCCACGAAAGAGTGAGTCTGCGAAAGCCGAACCGCGAAATATCGAGGGACTACTGTATTGTGTTGAACATTTTTCTTGTTATCTAAGTAGATTTAAATTTATAACCTTGTTCTGCTGTATAGAAACCAAACAGCAACATTGAATTTATTTCAACGGCGTTACATAAAAACTCCTCAATGGTTCCACTGAGCTCATTCTGTGTAAGACATGATGCTTCATCTGCAGCAACATGACAGAAAACTATCCTGCAGCTCTTATGAGAGAAAAGTTGGAGTTGTAGACCAAATGATGCAAGAGTAAACTAATTAACTTATTCAGGATGTTTTAAATTCTCCCAGCAGCCGAATGCAAGAAGACACTAACCTAATTTGAGCAGCCATCCTTCCCTGTCCGGGTTGAAGAACGTGTGCGTCAGGTCGTTCCCATCGTCCTCCGGGATCTTAAAGGGTTCACTTTTAATGCTATCGTATAGATTCTGAAAGAAAAAGGAATAGAGGAAATGTCCTGAAGCGGAGAAACACAGAAGAACATTCAAAGTGCTGACTGCAAACATTAGACTTTAGATTAATGGGGCTTTATGAACAGCTTGAAGAAATTCTGCTTCCATTTCTTAAAGTGAGAGACACTGATTCACAGCTCAACAACTCTAAACTGTGAAATATTTAAATAAATAGGTTACTTATTTAACATAAAGTCAAGGGAGTGTATAAATATCAATAGATTTTTTAAATATATTTTTTATATATTTGCAAAATATTTACAAGTTTTATTTCATGTGATAATAAACTACAGTACCACAGTTAATGATGTTTGACTGTTTTCTAAGTGGTCTTGTTTTACATTTAACTGACATAATGTTTCAGAAACACAGAACATGGCTACAATTGTCCAAGCATACAAACTAATTAAGTCTCACCCTGAGTAGTTCCTCTGGGAGGTCCCCCCCCTCATTGATCCCTCTGTTCATGGAAATGAAGCGCTCCACTGGGGGCTTGTCTCTGACGTTGGGGTTGTGAAGGCTGGTGTTCAGCATAATAATGGCAAATGACAAGACGTAGCAAGTGTCTGTGGAGGAAATTTCACAGTGTCACTGGGAAATCTTCTCTGCACCAGATACCTCCATTTATGCATGAAAAGCTGTAGGTTTTTCTTGCATTAAAAAATTACTAAAAATATTGTTGATTCTGTATGAAACTATCAGAACGTTGGCAAACAAATAAACGTTAGCAATGATGCAGGATTTGTCAAACAATAATACATGAAATTAGGGATGCACAATATTGGATTTTGACCAATATCCGATGTGCCCTGGGCCGGATTTTAGCAGGGGCTTACAGGGGCTGCAGCCCGGGGCCCCGGCATTTCGAGGGCCCCGAAGGATGTTTTATGTTTTTGTGAATGGACAGTGTCAGAATTTAATCAATGACTATGATGATTTTGACAGCACCGATGAAAAATGTTCCAATTTATTCTGGCAAACGTCCATCTTGAATGCTTGCTTGTTATTGGTCCACTTTTGACGTATCTTACGCATTGGGGAGGAGCGTCAGGGAATATTTTTTTTACAATGGCGGACAACAGAAAATATGACAGCGGAGCGCAGAAAAAAAGGAAGAGAAAAGAAAACGAGCATCGCGACAAAGAGGCGACAAACAAAATGCCTAAACTGACAACCAATAGCAATACCAACATTTTTTCCCCTAGACCTACTTACAGAGAGTGCATAGCTTTCTCTGCTGCGGAATTAAAATCCTACATTGTTCTGTATGGTTTTTGTCAGTTTGATCCAGGGGCTTTCTGGGTGGAGTTTGCATGTTCTCTCCGTGCATGCGTGGGTTTTCTCCAGGTGCTCCGGTTTCCTCCCACAGACCAAAAACATGCATGTTAGGCTGATTGATAACTCTAAATTGTCCCTAGGTGTGAGTGAGAGAGTGAATGGTTGTTTGTCTCGTTTGTCTCTATGTGGCCTGTGATGGACTTGCGACCCATCCAGGGTGTACCCCGCCCCTCGCACAGTGATTGCTGGACATGGGCACCGGCAACCCCCGTGACCCAAAATGGAATAAGCGGGTAAAGATAATGGATGGATGGATGGAGATATATATATATATATATATATATATATATATATATATATATATATATAGTGCCTTTTATATCAGTGAGTTAATTTGATGGAATGGCTGATATTTAACCTTATTGCTAATATCAGCCAATACCATGTTGATAATATCATGCATTCCTATATTAAATTTGATCTCTTTATCAAATGTAGCATTTAGATAAAGAACAATAAGGATTTAATTGGCAAAAAGCTTTATTTTCTGATGCAGAATGCCTCTGAAGGCCAAGCATCTCTTCAGTCCTGCAAACCTCAGTGATCCACGGCTCTATCAACTGAACATCATAACTCCACCTCCTCCATCCACCCATCCGACAGCCTCTGTGCTGTAATTTAAAACCCTGTAAACTCGGGTTCAGGAAGATCACCAATAACTTAGTGTGGGTGCGTCATCGCTGCACCACATCAATATTCATGACCTGAGCAGCAGACGAAGCACAGCGAGCCCAGACTGCACTAACGACTGCTATTGATCCAAGATCAATTCTATTATCACTGCTAGAGACGTGACTACTGATTACACCGGGATAAAGTAGAAACCTCCTGAGAGAGAAACACGTTCGCTTCAGTGGAAAATGGACAAAATGTCACATCAGGTCCAGAGAAGTTCAAATAAAGGCTCAAAGATTTAAACGAGCAATCCTTAAAGGAATGCAGTTTACTTGTATACCTACATTTAAAACAAACATCTTCATTGTTAGCATTCAGGCCTTACAATGGGGATGACTCTCAACTACTGCCACAGCCAATTCTAGCTTTACATCTATAAAACTGACCGAGTTATTGACTTTTTGTGTGTTTGCTAAGGTTGATTAGCAGTGGTGGTCATCTTGACTCATACACTGATCACTTTCTGAGACTCACACTCAGGCCATTAGAGCAGTGGTCCCCAACCACCAGGCCGCGGACCGGTACCGGGCCGTGGGTCAATTTATACCAGGCCCACAGAAAAAAACAAACAAACAAAAAACTTTTATTTTGAAGAATCACTGGATTCTCTCCACCACATCTGTCAATGACTCACTCTTGACGCGACGCAGGTCAACATACACAAGTGGTAAGTTTCAGTTTCTGTTAGACGCATGCACAGATTGGTTCTTAATTGCATGTTCGGGTGGAGTTAGCTGCGTGGTCTGGAGCAGACAGAAGGACGGGAGGAGGCGCGGTCGTGTCTGCGCATTTGAAGGATTACACTGCATATTTTTCAACCCGCCTGACAAAGCGTGACTGTAAAACTATTAACTAAATAAAACTATAATTTTAAACAAAGCTTCCTAATATCAAATCAGAGCTGGTTTTGTCTTGAACTTTTTTGAATTCACATCAGAGCTGTTCCTTCGCATTTCTGCTTCTGCTCTTAAAAAAAAAATCTCCGCCCCTAAAAGTTCAGTCATGGGCAATTTTATTAAAAAACACAAATATAATTAAAGTTTTGCACTATGCATAAGTTCCTGCACTTTTGTGAACAATCTGGTGTGTGAATCACTGCGGAGCAGGGAGGAGGATGACGAGGCTCAGCTGACCCCGGTGTGAGATCTACTAATTAAATGAGAAATGATCCTGCACTTAATACACTTATAAATCACACATAAAGTGATTAAAAGTAAATTTGAAATACATGTGCTGGTCATAAAATTAGAATATTGTGAAAAAGTTGATTTATTTCAGTAATTCCATTCAAAAAGTGAAAGTTGTATATTCATTCCTTACACACAGACTGATATATTTCAAATGTTTGTTTCTTCTAATGTTGATGTTTATAACTGACAATTAAGCAACTGACAAATCAGCAACCTCAATTTGTCCTGAAGTGAACGCCCCTTACCTGCAGAGCTGCAGCGGTTTTGCATTACGAACGCTTTACAGTCATTTCTATAATGAGTTTACAGCTTTAGTTTCATGTTAATCTACTGTAATAAACCTTTGTAAAATACACCAGAATTCAGGAAATGGCATCTACTCTATCCAAAATTCTCTGGGGTAAGACCCTCAGGCTCCAACTCCAACTCCCCGGTCCGTGAAAATATAGTCGGACATTAAACGGGTCCGTGGCGCAATAAAGGTTGGGGACCACTGCATTAGAGAACAATAAATATTCTGAGATTAGACGTCTACAAAAAAAAAGATAAAGCTTTTTGAAAGAAAATCTCTGGTTGTGGTAAAATGTCCATATTGTCCCACAAAGATATTCATACTGGGAGAACACAGAAGAGCTCTCATCCAAGTCTGGGGTGGTCTTTGTGTTCAGTTTGTCCTGACTGAATCATCAATCTGCTGTGTGTGTGTGCTTGCGTGCGTGCGTGTGTGTGTGTACCTGTGGACTGAAAGACGCCAGGGTTGCACTGGCAGTACCTGGAGGCAAACGCCTCCATCATGCGATCAATCTTCTGGGCTTCACCAGGAAGTCTGAAGCTCCACAGAAACTGCCTGCAGCACCAGAGAGAGAGGAACTATAACGACATGTCATGAAATATTGATATACTAATGCAACCTAACAGTTTACTGTCAATTACAACTTAAATTATATGCCTCAGATACATTTTAAACATCAAAAAGAGAGAGCATATAAACAGATGTCACTTTATTTGCAGTGTTTTTGCAGTTACATGAATCAGACGGAGCAGTTAATTTCCTGTAACATCAACAGTTTTGTCTTTAATGGGACAGAAAATAAGACCATGATAAATGAAGGCTGGTGCAAACGTTTCAGAGCTGTGTGAGAAAACTTTGGAACGATTTATAGACACATTGAAACAGAAAAACAACAGAAAAACAGACAACGTGAATTCAGTCAAGACTCTTTTTGCCCCCAAAAGTCTTCATTCTGCTGGTTTTTGACTGTGTTGCAACCAATGCAAAATTTACAAAGATTTTTTTAAAGTTCAAGTTTATGGTAAAACCTTCAGCTTGAACCTATTGAAGAAGAAGCCACTGAATGTTACGGTGTGTGCAGCATCAAAATACTGGTATAGAAGCTACCTTTGATTTCTTTTCAGCTTAGTTTGCTTCCAGAATGTGATGGTACTTTGGTTCAATTCAAGTTTTTAATTCCTTATCTAAAGAGTTTAAGCATCTTCATGCCACAACCTTCAATTCAATTTATTTATATAGCGCCAAGTCACAACAGACGTCATCTCAGGGCACTGAACAGAAACATTTATAAAAATAATAATGTAATACTATTTATCTGAGGAGCAGACTGCTTTGAATTGAACTCCATCACAGAACTCTCATCTTGAGCAAGCATGAAGGCGACAGTGGAAAGAAAAAACTCCTTCATATTTGTCTTAAACAAGAAAAGAAAGGCTTTATTCTAGAAATTTTATGCTCTTACCATTTCTAACATGCCTTTTACTCAATAATAACGAAAATACTTTTTTCACATAAGCTTGTAGTTGTACTTGTTTAGTTGCAAGGATTAAATAATTTTGACATTTTGATTTCCTACATCGCCTTACAACCTAGCTGTTTTTCTGTTTCATTGTTAATGCCATTTTCTTTCACTTGTTCTTCTCAATGCTTCCTTTTATGATTGTTTGCTGTTGTCTTTGTTATTTACTGTTTTCATCACTCATTGTTAGAATCAGGTCTCTCTTGTAAATGAGTCCCCAAGGCTCAATGAGATTAACCTGTATAAATAAAGGTTGAATGAATGACGTGAGGACATAGAAAAAAATTCTCCTTACTCAAACCATGATGACTGTGCTGTATTTGTGAAGTTATGTGTCTATATTAGAACTTTATTGCTCTATAGCATCTAATAAATTGCAATAAATTTTTCAGAAATTTTCCACTAAAGTAACAATTCTCAAAGATTCCTTCTTAAATCTTGGCTTTCTTGGTTTCTTAATCCATCATTTCTATCAACCAAAATTTCTAAATTACACCAGCTTCTCATAGCCGTCTCCTGTTTGTTCAGCATCAACCATTTTATCATTTAGAAGATGAGGCAGCTGCTCAGAGAAGGTTGACTTGAAGGTAAAACAACAAATGTGGTAAATCTGCCAATTCCACAATAAAACATGAGCAAAGAGCGTGGTGGCGCAGAGGTTAGAGAAGGTGGGCCTGTGATTGGAAGATCGCCGGTTCAAGCCCCGGTACAGACAACATCAAAAATGTAGGTGTGGTAGGTGAAGCACCCACACCTACCCCCACCTTCATTCACCCAACTCTGGGCCCATGAGCAAGGCCCTTAACCCCCACCATCTGCTCCCTAAACAGGTCTCTCTTGAAAATGAGTTCTCGTGGCTCAATGAGACTAACCTGGATAAATAAAGGGTAAATGGAAAAAAAAAAAGAAAATCCAGTTGATGGTTTTACAAACTGCTCCAAGTGGACATCCAGTTTTCTCCCTTGTGACTTTAAAATCATAACTGTATAAGTTTAGATCATTGGTGTTTTCTTATTATTATTATCATCATCTCACCTTAAGGCTTGAACAAGATTGAGGTCTGCAAATTCATGAAGCTCCACAAATGCCTGGAGGACCTTGATGTTAAATTCATCTCTGTAGAAAAGCAGGAACACGTGTCACAACTTTAAATATTTACATGTCAAACAACAGAAGATGTAAACCCTCGAGTGTTTCATTTTCAGAAACACTTTGGAATCTTGCAGCCAAGCCGCTACAACACTTTCTGCAACAAAGCTGCTGAGCATCAGTGTTTTGACAGTGCCGGTCCTGACCTCTGTTCGATAAAAACCACATGTCCCCCGAGTTATTTTAGTGGCACCGTTTCCTGTCGCTGCTCTGCTTCATAAATCGAGACTACAGACTTCCTGGAGTTCTAAGGCCGAGCGTGAGCTCAGGCATTGCAGATCTGACAGAAAGGGTGGAAAGAAAACGGAGGGAAATCTTGGAGCTCACCGTTCCCCTAAGTAGTCCCCGATGACCGTTTTGTTGAGCCCTTCGCCTTTGTAGAGGAACTGTGCGATGTCCTCGGGGGTGTTCTGGAGAAGATCGTTCTCCAAAAGAAACTGTATCCCCTGTTAAAATGTTACACTGCAGTTACTAAGTCTGCTTTCAGAACTTTGATTTGGGTCATTTTGAAGTTTAATTCAAAACTTTAAGAAATGCAACTCAACAGGAGCAGTTTTAATGATGTGAGCACAGTCTAGGACAGGGGTCTGCAACCTGCGGCTCTGGAGCCACATGCGGCTCTTTGGTTCATCCACAGCAGCTCTTTCAAGCTTTGACTAAAAGTAACATAAAACTGAAGTTTATTGGGTGTTATGCAAACAACAAAAAAAAGTACGTTTTAGCAGTTTTCATGTAATTTCTTTGGCAAATACTCACTTTAGCTTTTTGCTTTATTTCTATACTTAATTATTTTTTCTACAAAAAAAAAACAAAAAAAACATAGGTCTAGTAGTTTCCTGATGCATGCTCAATAATCCAGGTAGAAAAATCTAAAAAAATTAAGTCTGGTCTTCTGGACATTCAAAAAACAAAACAAAGCAAAACAAAATATGTTTTTTGTTGTTGTTGTTGTTGTTGTTGTTGTTGTTGCTGCTTTGTTTAGTTTTTTTAATGTCCAGACTTAACTTTTTTAGTCTGATAGTTTGTTTTGTTTTTAATTTAAAAAACTTTACCCACCTCTTTACAAGAATCTGGTCTTTTCATTTGTCTCACATTGTAATAATATCAATAAATGTTAAAAATCATTAGATATTTTTAGCTTTATAATGTCACCCCTACTGGCCACAAAAGTGTCCTCCAACAAACTTAAACTGGCCCATGGGCCACCAGTTGATAACAGTTGTAGCAGGTTGCTGCGGCTCTGGACACATTGAATTTAGTGAACGAAGGTGTAAAAATGTCTCTTTTGATCATAAAGGTTGCAGACCCCTGGTCTAGGATCTGATCTGACCTTTTTGGGATCCATGTTGAATTTCTTCCTTCCCATGGCGATCTGTTTGTTTCTTTGTGATGTTTTGCTGCAAATAAAACGTGAAGAGAGAAAAAATTGAAAGGCATTCATCACACAGTTAGGCGTGGTGCTGTCTTCAGGCTGTTATATTTGCTTTGTAGGCCACTAATGTTTATTTTACCACTCTGTCAAATACAGAGTTTGTAGGTTCAGTCTGAAAACTGGTTGCACGTTAAACACAAAGCCTGTGCTTCTGTAACAAACTACTTGTGTATGTTGCAAATAAAAAAGCTCCTTCAGCTGAATCCTGCCAGTTGCCATTTAGAAGAATATTTTCATTTCGATGTAAAACTCCTTCAGAACCTTGTACATGCACACCACACCACACCTTTATGTTTCAGCAGATGATCTCAAAGCTCCCCAGTGCCCACAAATATAAAAAATAACCTTTACCAGCTGCACACCTGAGACAAACAACCTGCCATCACCTCACTTCAGCAACCAATCACAAACAGCCTCTGAAAACAGACGGTCTGGTTAACATTTATTTAAGGCTCTGTTCCATTTTCAAGTTCAAACAATGGATGATTAATACGTTAACACACACACACACACACACACACACACACACAAGGACAGGTGTGAAGCTCTCTGCAACTGTGGATGTATGTGTAGAAGAAACAAAAGAACAAGGAATCAGTAGGAAACAATATTAAGTTAATTTCAGTTGTTTTCTGTCCTGTCATTTAATAAACAGAATAATAATCTGCTGATTGGCTGCTAACTGTCTCAGGAACTTGTGTAATAAATAAACAAACGTTTAAGGCTGCTTCCTTAGCACTTTTAATTAAACATATTCTAGTATAGTCTAGTGTTTTACTAACAATCAGATATTTTTTTTTAATTAAAATATCTCTAAAACTGTTTGAGGTGTAGCCAGTTTGTGTTGGATGAGGTCAGTTAGCCGTGGTGACAATCTTGAATTAGGCTAACTCCAAAGTTAAATAGTTGTGTACATCCAATCATTACTTACTGAGTTTCTTAAAAATCTGTCCAGTTGTTCATGAAATATTTTGCTAACCCTAAACAAATGAGCACACATGCATGGAGACATGGGCAAAAACATTAAGGCCTTTGCCTTTGGTAGTTAGCAAAGAAAAAAATTCTTACTTTGGGCTGAACCAGACTCACCTTTCCCCCACGGACGTCAGCTGTTCAATCTCCGTCATAACTTCTGCAATCTCAAACTTCAGCCTCTGCAAAGCAAAGATTCAGTCACTTCTTTTGATGCTTCTGTTCGTTTTTAATACAAGCTATTTCAAAATGCTGAAGCTCCAAAAGTCTGAATCAAACCTCAGAAGATCTTTAAACAAAACTCATTAACAGTTTGGGCTTTAAAAGCCGATTAACTCATTTTTAATCTTAGAGATTAAATTTCAGTTGGTGTTTCTTCTGTATTAGATTAATACAGAGACCTACAAATTATTATGAGCAGTGATGCTTTTTAGACTCTGCATACAAATATAATAGAGCTTTTAAATGAAAAATCATAAAATAACACATTTTTACCATGCAATATTATTCTGCATGAGGTCCGAATTATTTTTGCATGCAGTCGTCTTGAATAACTTTGTGCTACTGGATTTAATCTAGCATAAAATTCCATCATTTTGGTCAATTTTCTTTAGTCGCTCAAATGAAAGCATTGTTGTTACTCACCTCGATATCATCCAGAAGCTCTTTTTTCCTGCGTCGGATGTTCGACAGCTCATCCCTCTCCTCCAAAGACAGGTCCTCGGGCACTGGAAAACGCAGGGAAAAATGAAACGGCATGTGAGTGAGAGGAAGGGGCAGGATGATGACGATGGATTAAATTAATTCATCCACCAACCAGCTGGTTAGAGTCACAGGGATTAAGCCTGTTCAATGAACCTGTTCAATGAACCCATCTGAAAGACTTTACATTTGACCTAAATTAATGGACAGAAGCGCCGTTCAATTTTGGGAGTGTGAATTAAATGCAGTAAAGCGACAGAGAAGTAGGAGACTCTGGTGCTGCAGGTCATTTTTTTCAGCCTTTATTCCTCTGCATATTTTATTTAACCCAGAAGGTTACACTGTTGAGGGCAAACCAGTTCAGCCTTTGAGTTAACAAACTGTGTTTTATTTTAATTCTCCCCTCTGAAGTGCCAGTATTACAATTCTGCTTCATAATCTGGTTAAATAAATAGCGAAAGCTGTTCTTAGGAGGAGAAACGAGTTTTACCTCCTCGTTACAGGTGATTTGAATCCATATTATATCTTGGTTTAGAGATTAACAGCTAATCAGGATTACAGTCAAAAGCTCTTGTTCTCCAGCTGCCCTGCTCCTAATTGATGCTTTAATTAAGTTGTTACTAGAAAAATATATTTATGACATGTTTGGGAAAGGAAAACAAAGTGTGGCTTCAGAAATTATTCAAATTTGAACTGACCAGGAGAGAAAAAGGAAAAAAAATGGTGGAAAAGGGGAAACTCAACATAAATAAGAAATGAAAATAACCACTAAAATTAGGTATTGCCGATAAGTTTTAAAGAAAAATCTGACCTTATTAGATACTTCAGGCTTGCCTAAAGAAAATAAAGTATTTTTGGTCCTTATACTGTTCATTTATTCAACCTTTATTTAAACAGGTTAGTCCCATTGAGCCACGAGGACTCATTTACAAGAGAGACCTGAATTTTAACAGAGTGATGACGACAGTGGACAACAATGACAACAATAGACATTCACAAATGATGCATACAAATTTGAGTGTTTTTTTCTCACAATTTAAAACAAAATGATAATTAAAAGGGAAATTAGAGGGAAAAAAAACAGCTAGATTACGAGGCAGTGTAGAATACTTATGTATACATTACTTTAAAGTGATAGTTCAGATCCTTTGACGTGGGGTTCTGTGGAATGACATACTAATATCTTACTTATTGTAGATAAGTGTTTGACACGCCTCTGATTGGAATATTGAAGTTAAGTTTTGATTGGACTGATGAGCTAATGGCTAGTCCAAGTGGGCTTAAGATCAAAGTAAATTTCTGCTGTTTTAAAACAACTTTAATCTAAAATAAACTTTCATAATGGTTTGTGCAAATTTAATTTTAAAAGCCTTGCTGTCAATTTTGCATTACATGTATATATTGTAGATATGTTCCTGTTTTTAGTTTTCTACATTCGCCTTATGATCTAGTTGTTTTTTGCTACTTTTTTTGCCATCTTATTTTAATTTGTAAAAAAAAATAATCTGTATGCCTCTTTTATAATTGTCCATTGTTGTCATTGTTGTCCACTGTTGTTATCACACTTTGTTGAAATCAGGTCTCTCTTGTAAATGAATCCTCGAGGCTCAATGGGATTAACCTGTCTAAATAAAGGTTGAATGAATGAAGATTATTTTATAGATTTTCATGATTATTTGTAAGAAGTAACAGCAGCAGCTAGCTGTAGCACTTCAAGTTTAGCCCAAGACACTTTCTGAAGGAATATCATAATTTTCTTCCAGAATAACGATGCAACGTGCAGGTAACGGTGATGTAAAGGTTTTATCTCTTAAACTCTTGGGGAGCGTTCACGTTTCATCAGCTGCTAAATGCTCCACTGAGTCCATTGATCTGGAACTGAGCCAGAACTGTAGAGCTACCCAGTGTGGAAAAAGATATAAAGTATGATTATGTAAGTTTTGAAGGGAACGTCTCCCGTCCTAAACATCTAATACACACATTTCTCTCTGGTCTGGGACTCTTTGTAGCTGAGTTAAACAAAATATAACGCCAGTTACAACTCAGCCACTTGTGACAAAAATTGTTTACATCAGGAGCACATGACTTGGATTTGCTGACTGTGCAAGGACTGTGCATCCATCCATCCATCCATCCATCCATCCATCCATCCATCCATCCATTATCTTTACTCGCTTCTTCATTTTCAGGTTGCGGTGGTAACTGCTGCCCATATCTAGTGGGGTACACCCTGGACAGGTCTCGAGTCCATCACAGGGCCACACAGAGACAAACGAGATAAACAACCATTCACTCTCTCACTCACACCTAGGGACAATTTAGAGTTACCAGTCAATCTAACATGCATGTTTTTGGTCCGTGGGAGGAAACCGGAGTACCTGGAGAAAACCCACGCATGCACAGAGAGAACATGCAAACTCCACCCAGAAAGACCCCCGGCCGGAATTTGATTCATTGACCTTCTTGCTCGGAGGCGGCAGCTCTACCAACTGAGCCACCGTGCTGCCCAAAGACTGTGCAGTTGATAATTTTAGTTTGGTAGACAAAAAAATTGTTTCAACCAAAAGGAATCTTGTTGAAACTTGTCCCAGTATGGTTGCTGGATTTTCTTGAGCAGCATCTTGTTGCATAAACGTCAGGACAAGCCAGACACACAATTAGATGTATGATTCAGGGGTCAGCTTTCCATATTAAGTCAAAAATAAACATTATTACATGTGGAAACATGCCATTTCTTGTATTTAAATGGTCAGTTTTCCTGTCATGTAATAACTATATATAAATTTTAATTAAATCAAGTTTTTACTTTCTAAATGCAGTATAAAAAGGTTTTGACAATTGAATTATGCCACGAGTGTTAAAAGTAAATATAATTAAAAACTTAGCATTCTATTTTGTCTTTTATGTCAGTGTTTTAAACTTATAGTTTCATAGTGATCTTTGTTATACACAATCACAAGTGAAATTGTACGATATCACAAGATTTGTTGACTTGGCCACCACATAAACGTTTAGGCATCTGTGTATCATGAGATACTTTGCTAACGACAGCCAAACACATATGTTCAAAAGAATGCTGCAGATGACTTCTAACATCCTGTGTGTTTGACACACACACACCCATTTACTGAGCATCTGGTGACTTCTGTCCCCTGGCATATGGCTTTCTGATTTTTCACCGTCTCTTTCAGGTTTAGATTAAAGCTGCAGCAGCTCTGCACAACACGCCTCCTTTACATGCTCACAGGCAGCGTATGCTCAGGTGAGTTCACACTGAACATGCCACACTTACATCTCACACACGTGACATTATTTTACTCTACACAGAAGGTCCCAAAAGCCACCCGCTTACTACTCCCCCCCCCCCCCCCCCCCCATCTCCCCCGTTGCTCCTCCACACATCAGAAAACAGCGATTCGTTTGAGAGCGAGCTAAGAGGGAAGTAGGTCATTTTCACATGGAGCCATACCAAATTGTGCTTCTACAGTTTTCACTATCACATACACATGCACACACATTCACACCCCCCCCCCCCCCCCACACACACACACACACACACTCTATCTCATTCTTTGTTTGCCTCCAGTTCTGGTGCCTGAAGTGGGGGTGAGCGCAGATTCAAATCCCCCCACTGAATCGTTCCACTAAGCAGCTTTACAGTTCAGGCCTACCCCCCCATGCCTGTAAATAATGATGGATAAAAATGAAATTTATTTATTCTCTTATTTTTCTACTGGATCTCTTTTCACACTGTCAGAATTAGTCTCCCCAGTCCTGCTCTGGAAGACAACGTGACAATAGTAGCACGAGCTTTTAGCTTATAACGTTCGGAGACAAGCAGTTGGTCATCAGAGCAGAGATCCAGATCGGTTCAGATACTGGGGGCTGTCACTCTAATGCACCCAGACACTCACAAGATCTATCAGCTGGCAAACTAAAAGGGGAAAGACACCCCCAAAAAAAGTAAATTAAAAATGTTAACTGTATTTAAATCACATAAAGAGAATGCAACTTTTATGAGTGATTATCTTTACATTAAATGTGAAGTGGGGCAGGGTTAATGGAGTATAAATACCATGTCTAACAAGCAATGCAAGACCGTATGATGACTCACTGAATATGTAAAGACATCAAAAGGAACTCTTTTAATGGTTTGACTGCACTGTACAAAATCTTATTTCACACTCAAAATCATAGCAAGCTTTTTATGCGTCTTCTTTTCTTGGTTTTCAATTCTAAAAGCACTGAATGTCTGAATGTTCTTAACAAAAAAAGCACAACTACAAATGGTGGTGGTGAAATATGCTCATTTGTGTACATTTTGTAATCATTGAAAAGCTTAATTGAAAGTTTGGGTAGTTTATGTTGAAGGATCAGAGGTTCGAAAAGGACTAATCGTTAGGCTCAATCAGCTGATAAGGACAAATTATGATGCAATGACAATAAGTGTTGTTGGATGAACCTGTTATTTTAGTTACAAATTGTGTCTGTTTAACCAAAACTATAAAGTAATTAAAGAAAAACTAAGTGCAGAATGGCAATAACAACTCATCTTAAAGAGTTTTCCTCTGGTTGGTCTCAAATTGACTCCAGTGGTATTGCTACTGTCATAGTCTACTTTGTAGTCTGTTCTGGTATTTATTTAGTTCATTGAGTTCATCTTTTAGTCTTGTTCCATTTGTGGTTTGTTCTATTATTTCTGTTTGTTGGGATTTTTGTGTTTTTCCTCCTCTCTGTGTTTCCTTTGCTAGTTCTCATTTTCACCCTCAGTCAGCCTCCTCAGTTTTTCCTTTGTCAGCCACTGACACCTGTGCCCTCATAATCATCCAGGTGCTTCCATTTTACCCCAATCACCTCTGCTCCAATCAGTATTTGGTTCGTTATTCATCAGTTCTGCGTTGTGTTGGTCTTATAATATAGTCATAGACTATAATATAGTCTTACATATAGTCATGGCCATTTCCTTCAAGTTTTCCACTTGTGAATTAGTAAGTTTTGCTGTCATGTCAGCCTTTTGCTTTTTAAA